ACTTTCTCCCTTCGTCTCACCGTTCGTTCGGATGCTGCTTAAGCCCGCAACGTAATTTATCATAAATTCTGGAAAATTGATTAATAACATGAAAGAGATTGAGACTGAGAGAGAGAGAGAGAAACTGGGGAAGAGGATAAAACACGGCCGAGTCTGCACGACATAACGCAAACCTCTCTCTCTCTCTCCCACTTAAACGGGAATCCCTTTCCCATCGAGCGTCGCGACGCCGCCATACGAACCCCCCAAACCCCGTCTTCGTCCCACCTAATAGACCTGTCAGAATCGGCCGCTTTGTACAAGCCTAAAAGGGGGTAGAGGGAGGTACATCAATATTTCCAGCAGCGTTATTTTTCGTAATTACGCGCGAATTGCCCAAACCAATTGATCTTTTATATATTCCGTTTTGCGAAAAGGAAAAGCCGGCGCGGTAATGCGAAGTGGAAAATAGCGAAGATTTATTGGGACCGGATTAAAAAGGAATAGCCGCATCCTGCGGACGAGAGAATGAGCAGAAAGAAGACAAAAAAAAATAATAGGGGAAAAAGTAAAGTTTTTCACTCTCTCTCATTCTCTTCGCCATTTCCCGACTTTGTTTTGTTCCATCATCGCTCACCGTAACTGCACGTGTGTATGTGTGTGTGTGTGTGTATATATTTTTTTAATCAAGGAATGCACAAAAGACGAGATATAGAAAGAGAGAGAGAGAGAGGGAGTTGACAATGCCGGGCGTAATTCATCTCGGACGAATGGTCGAGGCATTTCATCGCTTTCTGTCCCATACATATAATGATAATAATAATAGTCTGTCCGCACAAAAGTCCAATTACACGTCTCCCCGTCGTCTCTACATTTTCTTTCTTTAATAAAACGCCTCGCTCTGCAATTGATAATACATATTCCTATTTCCACACAATCCTATCTCTGCACGCTTGCAACACACACAACTATCTCTGAACGCATTTTGCTGCACGTCGTCCGCGTTTCTCTCTATTGTGCATTCTGCGCTTTTCCCTTATCACCATTTCGGTGCAGCAGTTTCCACCGGAAAACTCGCGGAAAATAGTCGCGCACAACATCTATATAGTTTCCGTGGTGTAGTGGTTATCACATCCGCCTAACACGCGGAAGGTCCCCGGTTCGATCCCGGGCGGAAACATTATTTTATATATATATATATATATTATATAATAGAGCAAGAAAAAAAGTTTTAGAATTTGATTACTTAAAATTTATCATTAATTTCTTGATTTTTTTCCAATGTGTATTACATGAAGATATATTTATATAGGGGGCGTAGCTCAGATGGTAGAGCGCTCGCTTAGCATGCGAGAGGTACCGGGATCGATGCCCGGCGCCTCCACAATTAACTCTTTTTTTTTTCAATCAACGATTATCGAAATTGTTATCTCGAGATATCTGTCAAAATTTACATATCTTCGGAATGATTGTTGTCGTTGGCGCCGTGGCTTAGTTGGTTAAAGCGCCTGTCTAGTAAACAGGAGATCGGGAGTTCGAATCTCCCCGGGGCCTGAAGTGAAAAAATCTTCAAGAAACACCAACATTTTATTAACACATTGGCGACGGCATGACGCATGACGACGGTGGGTCATTAATTATAAATAATAGTTTTGTTGCTATGTACGCCACTGATTTTGACTGAGAATAACCTCAAATATCTTAAGTCAATTACAAACTTCAAACGCCAATACATTTCTTATACATATTTTAATAATTCTTGAAGCAATTTAGAACAGTACGTGATATTGTGACATAATTTAGGCATACTTTACAAATTAACTTGCGAAACATATTTGAAATTTTCATTCAATGCTACTTGCCGCTTCTCAGCTCTTAAGTAATAGAAGCGCAAAGGCATTGAAAATACAATATGATTATCAGAAGCAGATATTATTTCTGTTTCAAAAAAAAAACATTGCTAATTTATTCAAATACAATACAAGCTTAGAGCACATGATGATATATTCGACTTGAATAGAAATTGCAATGCTCAATTATTATTATTATTGCTTATTATA